CTCTCTCCTCTCAAGTTCATTCATTTCTTTTTGCAATTGGACGGCATTGTACTTTCTGATGTTTGTATACTTCGAAATTGGCCAGGATCGTAACAGAGGTTATAAAAGCATACAAAAGTTTGAAAGAAAAAAAGAGAAAATGGACAGAAAACTGTACCTTCTTGCATATGTCTGCATAATCCAGTCCATCAAAGGGAACTTCTCTGGCCATCATTTCCCAGAGCACAATTCCAAATGAATACACATCTACCCTCTCATTGTATGGCTTCCCTGCAACAGACAAATCAAGGGGGGGCCGGGGCGGGGAGGAGGGGGGGGGAGAGAACGGACAGCGGGCTCATCAGGCCTAGTATGATTAGGACTGGATCATTTAGTTCTCATCATCACTCTCGAAATGTCAAAAAGACAAAAATGTGGCAGGTGCATCTGGCCATGTTCTAGTGGGAAGTTCGTTCTCATTTTGCACATTTCGAGAGTGGTGTGGCGATGCCCTCTATTGGTGGGGGGCTTGCCTTGATCTTCAGCAACTGGAGGTCGCCGACTCGTCGGGAGGCAGAACCCTAAACAGTCTGCAAAATCCCCTAACTGATTACACTCTAAGTCATAATCCACCTTAACCCCGGTTGTGGTTAAGCATGAACGAATACCCGACAAATGATACCCTGAGGTGGGCACCAACCACTGCCCTCAAAATACCTGTGACGAAAATCAAAGCAGACTATCACTCAACCACACCAGATGGAAAACTCTACAGACTGTCGGTTCACAGCCCATCACAATCCAGCAAAACACCCACGAAACAAAGAAAGGTCTATCTCAACCAGAAAATACACTTCAGACACACAGCTGGCACTAGAGGAACAGCATGGCCGCATAGTGACGGCCCCAACCACAAATTTGTGCCCCGCCACGTGCAAACCACATGGGTGATATGCAACTGACTGATCAGCAGACAACCCAAGACATTTTGGGCTTGCAACACCATCTGGGTGATCTGGGAAATTGTTGGCCAGCATCCGGCAAACCAGCCTGTGGTCTGACTTAATATTTGTCTTCACATTCTTCACCGCGAGAGATGGTTAATGGAAGACCAAAAATTCGGTGTTTTTCGGCGCACCACCACAAGCAACATCATCAGAAATTTAGCGAACAAACAATGCAGGCTCATAATACAAACATAAAAAAAAAAAAAACAGGCAAAAAAAAAAAGAAAAAAACAAAGAAAAAACACTGTAAAACCCTATCCGGAGTAGCTTTCGGAGTTCGCCAATTTGTTTTCCGAATTCGGTGCTTTTGCTAACTTTTTTGTTAGTGGTCCAAATGCATCGAAACTGAATACAGATATACCCTAAAGCACATACATATCACACAAAAAAAACAACAACAAAAAAAACACCAATTCCGGGAAATATGGCAGTTTCGGTGAAAATTTCGCCAAAAATGACACCACCTATTAACCATATGTGGTGTTTTATACACCGTCAGACTTCCTTGCAACCACCCTTCAGCTTGATGCTGATCGTCCCCGCCTACAGCCAGAGGATTGTAATTCCACCAGGGAAAGAGGCTTTACGATTGCTGTCCTACAACAAGCAATGAAGGACCGCCAACTTGAACTACGCAATGCTCGAGTGAGTGAGTGGTTTGATCCTCCATCCCACATCTCTGCCTGCATTGTGCACGGACCTGGCCATTACATGGCCATTGTACATGCTTCTGACCACTAGGAGCTGTGGGACAACGGTGTCATGGTCCATGCCATGACTGATGTTACAGATTTCTTACATAATGATACCGTTTTCTTGCCACAACAAACCGTCCGCAATCTCTTTTATGTCGAAGATCATTCCTCTGGCCCCGTGCTGCAGCAGGACAACATACCAATGCTCTGCGACCTTCTCCTTTGCACAGCTACAAATATTGTTACACTCCGTTGTAGCATGCCATGACATGGTTTCTGCATCCATGTGTGTAGAGGACTGTCCCTCCACTCCTGACTGCAGCACCCTCCGCATCCACATACTATATGTCCATTTTGCGGTCATGGGCCTATAATGAATGCATGTTTTTTTGTGGTGAACGTTCTTCCTTTATTTTGGCCTGCAATCGATATGCCATTTGTCGGGGGTGTATGGTGGGCATGTGTGGCAATTGTTGTACTGAGAATGCTCAGCTAGATCTTCCATGTGTTCATCACCTCATCCTTACAATGTATGCGCTCTCTGTCATCAAGGACAGACCCATTCTTGAACCTTTTCTTATCCTCTCCTTTGCCTTCCTTACAATGTATGTGCTCTCTGTCATCAAGGACAGACCCATTCTTGAACCTTTTCTTATCCTCTCCTTTGCCTTCATCTCCATTCCACACTCTGTATTTCCCCTTACTTTCCGTTTGTTGTTCTTTCTATTTCTTCTCTCCATCTTTCTTCCCTGTGTTTCTCCCTCCCCGTTTACTCTGCGTCTTTCTCACAGCGTACAAGTGGGCTGTTACGGCACACGGGGATGCTGGCAGCTAGTGCTCAACTTCATCAATGGGGCGAGCCTTGTACGTTAGAGGCACAGTGAAGGGGGAATTAAAAGAAGAAGAGAAAAATGAATGGTTTCAGCGTGCCCCTCATATTGGTCTTGGTTTTATTTCTACCGTTTTTTTTTTGCAAAGTGCGCTCCTTTAGTTCATAGATATGTACATGGGGGGGGGACACACACACACACACACACACACACACACACCTGTCTCTTATACACATCTAGATGTGTATAAGAGACACAGTCAAAGGTGTGCGCACTACCTTTGACGCAGACCGCACGATCACGCATGAGTTAAACTTCTATGTCCTTGATCAGTGCCCCTTCGACGCGGTTATTGGCTTGGGCTGGTTGCAGGCCCAATGTGAAAAAACCACGTGGAAGGACTCACAATTCATGGTGTCAAAGATGCCATGAGAATCGAGCGTNGAGAGAGAGAGAGAGAGAGAGAGAGAGAGAGAGAGAGAGAGAGAGAGAGAGAGAGAGAGAGAGAGAGAGAGTAACCTGCCAGCAATTCACGAGCCATGTATGCAGGTGTCCCAGCACCCTTCTTAATAGGGTGCGTTGATGCCAACCCAAAATCACAAAGCTTGACTCTCCATTGCCGATCCACTAGAAGATTAGCCGGCTTCAAGTCACGATGTATTAAAGGTGGCCTGAGATAACAGCAGCAAGATGGCACACCGAATTACAACCCTTCTTTTTTTGTTGAACAAAACATGAGGGGTGAAGGGGAAAAAAGAACACACTCCTCAAAAAAGCGGACACTAGTTTGCAGGAGATGTTTTTTTTGCACTCTTCTTACCTTCTCCCCCATTCGAGAATGCACTATGCTCCTCTCCTCTCTTCCCACCTTCCCTATTCTGTCTCATTTCTGCTTAATCCCACAGAGAAAACAAACCTAGTGGGAGAGTAATGCCGCTACCTGGTCAAGGCTGAGGTTTCAGACACCTATTTGATGTTATTTCTCGAGCCCAACTGGACAGAATGAAAACTCTGTACGACTGTTCTTGGAAAAGATATGTTCCTTAGGTGGTGCACTCTTCTGTATCTACAAAAACAGCAAAAAACACAAAAAAAAGGGAAACTGCCGCTGGTACGGTGCAAGAGCAGGTGCCGCGCCGCACGCCGTACAGCACACTGTGCAGTTGCAGGTATGCTATCATGTGCTTTTCGTGGAATGAGAAACCATTTGAAAGATATCGATATCAGAGATCGTTTTATTATCACGGCCTACCGAACGCTTGACAATCACTTTCAAGAAAGAGTGTTTACGGCTAAACTCCGTTGCATCCGTAATAGCAGCGAAAGTGACTATGCTGAAGTTATGGCTCTGCAACTTCCAACCAGAGATCTCATTGTTGCATTGATGTCGTGAATGTAGGTACACTCATTGATGGATGATCTTCTTCTTCACAATCAGTTGTGTTGCACTGCAGCTTATGAACTACAATTCAACTAATACTACTACAGTTCACATCAGGCCGGTACATGGAAAGTGTGGTCCCCTTGACACGGCTGCAAAACTTGGAGGCCAGGACTTGTACTGGTGGTTTGAACCACCAGTGCATGGCCCCCACCAACTTCAAAAAACTCATGGCTCACTCCTTTTGGAGGCTCGGGGCTGCCGGCCCACAATGGCTGGCGGTGCGCTGGTGCTAGCCAAAAAAGAAAAGAAATGCATTCCTGGCGGTTCAGCAAAGCTTGGCTTGCAGTGCGAGTCCACCGCGCTCGGGTGTACTGGCGGTTTAAACCACCAGTATTTTTCCCAGCAATTTAATATGAAGCCGTTAATGCGCCACACGTTTTGGGGCTCAGCCTACTGAAATGGAAAGGCTGGCAGTGCCAGCCAAAAGCATTATATTTCGCGACCACAACCAAACCGGTGCACGGATGAAATCTACATCGGGAAAAAGGGGCTCCGAATTGCTGGTGGTTTAAACCTCCAGTACAGCGAACCCTATTTTGCCTAACCTGATGTTTTTGTGCCCGAATGAAACCCCACTAGGTCCGTATATGGAAAGTGTGCCCCCTTTGTACATGGCCACAAGTTTTGCAGGAGGGGAACTCGTACTGGTGGCTTAAAATATTTTTTCAGGTCACAGGGAGCCAGGAGTAATTTCCTGAAAGGTAGAGCAATGTGCATCCTGAGGTTTGGCGGGAGAAAGAAGGAATAAAAAAGGGATGGAGGAGATGGGAAGATCAGCAAACGATTCAACAAGTCGCAAAATGAGAAATAAAATTCTATAGGACAACTACTGCAGTATTGGATGGGAAGTTCTTCTCTGGATTGCATGTGTGCTCCACCCCAAACGTGACCGCAATCATTCATCCGCTACTTAAACCACCAGTACTTCCGAAAGTCACAGCCGAAAAAAAGCCGCAACGTGCTGGGATGAACGGGCCCCTGGGGCGCTGGTATAAATTAATTCAAGTGGAAACATCGCGGCTTTTTTTTGGGCTGGCTGTTAACGAGCCGCGACTTGCGAAGTACTGAGGGTTTAAAACACCAGTATCCTGTGGCGCTATCCTGTGCGTCCCAGCCAATTAACAAAGGGATGTGGAAAGGCTTGACCTACGAGACCAAAATGGCTGGCGGCACCCCATAGGCCTAGTCTCCGTTACAGTTCCAAATGTGAACGGTTGGCAAAAGTGCACATCCAAGAAAGCGGCTCATAGGTCCTGGTGGTTTAAAATCTTAAACAACTAGCACTTTTCCTAGCCATTCTTCTGCATCGCAGCACTGCTACCAGCACGTCTGGCAGGTGGTACTGGCCTGCCGTTCACGGCAAATTCATCCAGGCAAAAACGGTTGCCTGCATGACCCCTTTTGCCTGGATGCTTTTCGTGCGTTGCGGCAGGCCGGTACATCCCACTCGACGGGGCGCAAGCACTGCCACATCGCAGAAGAATGGCTGGGAAAAAGTACTGGTGGTTTAAACCATCAATAGGATCCCCGGTCTAGGAAATTATAGGTTGTAACACAAGTGGGCTGCGCTTCTGATGTACCTGCCTTGCTGAACCAGTTCGATTGATTTGGGCACCAAAAAAAAAAAGGCTCGCCAATTTCCGGTCACTGTAAAAAGACCAGTCTGTCCTAGCCTCTCTTTTCCAATAAGGATTTCTGTCACTTGCCAAAAACGAAACAGACGGGTGTGGGCATGAAATAGCCTTTTTGCCTGGTGCCGCCGGGCTTTCTGCTCCAGTAGGCCCGACCCACAATTTTGTGGCGGGTTGACTGCTGCGTCGGAACAAAATAGATGCGAAATAGAATGGTGCTGCAAAACAGAGTGGTGGTTTAAACCACAAGTACACAGCCCAAGCCTTGTAGTCGGAAACTTGTCGCCACAAGAAAACGAGGCCGAAATGTCAAACGCTGTGCCCGCCGTTGATAAATTCGATCGGCGGAGCGTTTCCATTTCGCGCCTCCAGAATTTGTGGTGTCAGGCCCGCGGCCCAGGTGCCCATGTACTGGTGCTTTAAAGTGTAAAATAGCAAGAAGGGTAGGGGGAGGTGGAGATAGGGAAAAGGGTATGGGTGAGGGCAGGGGCAAAGACGCGGAACAGCAGGGCAAATCCTGCTTGTGCCAGGACCTTCTGGTGACTTGGAGTTAGTTGTGGGTAGATCCTGTATCAGTTCTCCTTTCTTTTCTTGGGTGGTTGTGCACGGGAGGGGGGGGTGGCATAGAGGAGGGAGACAAAGGTTGACGTGCACCTTTTTGTTTTTTTTTGTACACCTATTATGACCTACTAGATGACCCGTTGCGGCTTCGCCCGCAAAAACAGAAAAGGAAAAAAAGCACAAAAGAAAGAAAAAGCATAAGGAACTCCCCTATCATATTCCGCCGAGCCTTTTTTTCCCTTTATCTTTGAGTGTTTTGTTTGGGGAGCCATTACCTTCGCAACATCGTTTTTGTTTTGTGATGTGCAAGAACTCCTCCACTTTTCTGAGAAAATCCTGTCAATTGTCCCGTTGATGTTTTTGCAGCTAAAGATTCAGATTCAGACTTTGTTTGCTGTGTTCTCTGGATATGTTTGTGATCAACCCATCTTGCATGTATGCATGCCCCATGCTTACTTGTTGAGTTTCTTCGCTATGTGCGCAAGTGCATGCGTGTGTGGGCGAGTCTCACTTTGGTGGGCTCGGATGATGTCATTGATGATCGGCCCGGGGAAGTTGGAAGTCGCCTCCAACAACAATAGGAGTGCCACTGATGTTAAGAAGCAGGGGTTTTGCATTGTATGAATGATGAAACAATCAGCAGCATTCAATCTGCTTCGCAGTTGCTCTTCGCGTGGGGGACTTGTCGGGAGTAGCATTGACATGAGAGCATCTTGGAGATTTCCGGGAAGGCAAAACGCAAAGAAAAAACGAAGTAGCACGTGTCAGAGTCACATAACGGACAGCTTGGCACAGTCCGC